GTTGAGTTTGACATGTTAAATTGATTTTATTTTGGAATTTTAAGTAGTTTTTGGTTAAGTTTATCTTTTAGTTTAGTTTTATTATTAGTTTAATTTTATTATCATTATTTTTATCTTGTCAAGAAATGTTATAAATATTATTTAGTTGTAAAATTCAAAGTAAATTGCTATAAACACAATCATTATTGTCATTTTGAAATACTTTCATATGCAAAAGCTCAAAATGATAATAATAGTTATATTTATTTATAGTCATATATCTCTATAGTTACTCTATTTTGCTTTTCTATTTATATATAAATATAATAAAAAACTTCTTTATAATTACATTTTCTCTATAGTTACCAAATTTTGCTTTTTTAAGGGTAAAAACTATAAAGAGATTTAACTATAAAATAAATTAAAATTATAAAAATCAAAAATATTTTTTAAATCTAAATATTTTTTTATATTTATTTTCAATATTAATTATCTTATATCAATTTATAGTTTTAATTCTAATCTATAACTTAATCTAGAAGCTCATTGAATATTTACTTGAACTTGAATTAGATTTTTAATCAAATTCAAATTTAATTCAAAGTTCAAACTGAACTTGAACCAAACTTTTAAATGAATTTGAATTTTCAAATTAGATTTTTGATCAGATTCAAATCCAGTTCAAGCTCAAACTGAACCAAATTCAAACTGAAAATTTTTTTTCAAAATCCTAATTTATATGATATTTGATGATTAGTTTAAAGAGTAATTAGTTTTTTTTTTGAATTTATCAAGAGTTTAATATATTTTATACAATTCTATCTCTTTATAGAAGCACAAATTTTACTCCTTTTTATTAATTGATCTTCTGATCTTTATTATATCTAATTATTTTATATTATATATAGTCAAATTTCTCTATAGTCATCACTCTTAAGAAAACAAAATTTGGTGACTATAAAGAAATGTAACTATTGTTATATAATGATCTTTTGTTATAATATTTCATATTATTAGATTATATATTTCATATCTTATTGGATAAAGATTAAATCATGTGAAGCAAATGAACAAGCGAACAAATAACTAAACAAATGAGCAAATGAATGAATAAATGAATATTGGACCAATAGAATTTAAGTGATATAGTAAATATGAGTTTGTATAGCTGATAAATTATATCTTAGATTTGTATAAAAACAACATATATTATAGTTGTTAGAATTAAATATGAACAAGTTCTTTTAGATAGTAATTCTCAATTATCATGTCTAATTAGTTATCACATAGTTTTGATCATTCAAAGAAAAGTAATTTGCACTTTATGTAGAGTAGATAGTCAAGCGAAACTCTTCTCTACATTCTTTTAACAAAGTATTTATTTTCTTGTATAATAACTTTATAAGAAGTTATACAGATCTTGAATCAATATATATTATAATAGCTTAAATAAGATTGCCAGAAGTGCTATAAAAGTTATTATCTTTATTTTAGACTTTCAGAACACATTGTGATGAAGTCTATTGAATATTATATTAAATAAAGAAATTATTATTATAATTCATAAATATGTCTTTGAGATTGTATTGCTAATAATACATTGTTCATAAACTTATCTTTGACTTTGTATTGCTAATAATACATTGTTCATACACTTATCTTCGATCTCATATTGTTAATAATATAAATATTATATCTTATATTGATCTTTAAAGATTTAAAGATATTTTTAATATGTATATTATATTTGACATTGAGATTTTGAGAACTCTTTTTAGTAGTCCAGTTATTGTATTAAAAGAACACAACTGTTACTAATCTTTAAGTGATTCTTATAAGTACTTATCGTACTTTAATTTATATTCAGTCTAAAGCCATAAAGTATTATGAATTATCATTAAAATATTTGAGTTTCCCTTTTGAATATTTTAAATACTCTTGAGTATTTCAAAGCTCCATTAAAATGGTAACACTAAAGAAGTTTTTTTACTATATTTATATATAAATAGAAAAGCAAAATAAGATAATTATAAAGAAGTATGACTATAAATAGGTGTAATTATAAAGAGATTTGATTGTAATTAAGATATATTATACAATAACCTATTTATTCTTTTTTTTTAGAATTTAATTATGATTTTTATATTTTATAATAATAGACAAAATTAAATTTGATTAGTATAAGAAGTATATTAGCAAGTTCTTCAAATTTTTTTCTAATTATTATTGGATTTTCAATATTTTGTTGATTTAAGAAAAGTATCTCAAAGAGTTCAGAATCTAACTCAATCTTGAAGATAAACTTAATAGATACATTGAGTTCTTCAATCTTTGTAAACTTATTAAATAAATTATAGTCATATTTTTCTATAATCATATTATTTTGCTTTTCTATTTACATATAAATATAGTAAAAAAATTTTTCTATAGTTATATTCTTTTATAGTTATCAAAGTTTGCTTTCTTGGAAGTGGTGATTATAGAGAGATTTGATTGTATATAATTGTATTAGAATTATTTTTATATAGATTGTCTTGAAAAATAGCTTGATTTGATACAAGCAGCTTTTCAGAATTTGTATGAGAAGTATTTGTAATGCTTTGTGAAAGAGAAGATATAATATTTTGATTTAATTTATCTAAATTTTTTTTTCTGATTCTATATTTTTGATTTTGTATTTATTTTCGATTGAATAAAACAATTATTACAAGTAACATATTCATGCTGTGAATTATTAAATTTGGAATGACAGAATTCAATTTTATTTTTTATAGCTTTACAAGAAGTCACTTTTTTGTTTCAGACATGTTTAGGTGTTTAGGAACTTATTAATATAATTTGATTTTATTAGATTTTATGAAATTATCAGAAATGGTGGGAATAAATGATATATTAGCAGTTTTACAAAAACTTTTAGAATTAGAAAATAAAGTCTGAATATTATTAAGTTTTTTATACTTTTTTCGAATCAAAAATTGGATCTTGCAAGACTATATAAGGGGTCGTGTGAGATTTTAACTTCGGACAAGAAAATTTTAAGAATAATAAGGTGAATTAATTTATTATTTATTTTTTTAATAAAAGACTAGTATCAGTTTTTTGAATATATTATATTTTTTTAACACTTATCTTAAATAAAAATTCCTTGCTATTATGATTTGAAATGGGCATTGTAAAATCAATATCTCGATGATATGATTTTTAAAGGCCGAAATAATCATTAAGGATGGAAATGGCCATAAATCACATGATATCAACTGCAATACATCGATTATCTGTCCGGAGATTTTCATGTCCTCAGAAATCACGTGCAATCTCGTTTCCGTAAATTTTTCTTCGCCATGGCTAGGTTACTAATTATGACATACAGTATACACATTTTAAAGCGTGTCACGCCCATGTAATCTGGATTGTATATATATGACTTTCTCGATTCGATTTAGTAGTTGGATTAAAGATTTCTCCAGTTCTTGAAAAGTTTTTGGTATATAATGTCCAATATCTATATTTTGAGCTTTCCCTGCAGTATCTAGCTCTTTTCTCTGTTTCTCATGACATTTAACGAGGAGTTAGCAGTTCGTTTTGGTCGGTTGGTTTTGAGACAAGCCATACTTTGAACTTATTACGCGTGATATCACTAATATTAAATAGAATCTATTCAGATATTAGTTTTTATATACATACAAGTTGATTCTTCAATTAGTTACAAAATGAGTGGACCTCGCAATAGATTCTCAAGACGTGCGCCTTTTCAGCAAAGGCATTACCAGTCGTCACCTCACCCTCAACAAAGCCAAAACGAGGGTAGAGGTTTGTTTTTGAGGCACAAAAATTTCTATTTAGGAATTACTCAAATCTATATTAATGAATGTTTTACATAAAAGCCACTACAAAAATTTCCCGCATCAACGTCTTACTTTCACGGATAAGAGACGAAATTGACTCATACGCAAGAAGAACTACTTGTGTTACCCAGCTTTCAAGTATACTAGCCGAGACTCTTACACCTGGTGAAAGTGCTCAGGTATTTGATGCGGCTACATGTGGCATAGGAAATACGCCAGGGCTGGAGCCAGTATTTGAGGATACAAGGTAATTAATTGATTGAACACCATTCTGAGATTGTCTTCGTTCATTGTTTTTTTTGGTTCAAGTTTATAATTTTTCGGTTTTTTAGAGCCCCCGCGAATTTTAAACTTCTTGTTGCCAAATGCATTGCGTATATTGCCACGATCTCCGAAAATAATTTGGAATCGTTCTTTCGTTGGATATTTGAGAGATTGCATGCTCCGGGACCGGGGATCAAGGAGAAAGAGCGAGAACGCAAAATATGGTTGTTGATTTCATTGCGCGAGGTGTCTATTTAATTGGATATTATACTCTAAATTTTGTAAAGACTATTTTATTATTATAAATTATAAATTATAAATTCTAACTCAAATATTTCTTTAATTAAATAAAGTCTATCACCCGTATAACCCAATCTAGCAACAACTCACAAAATATCGTTTCCTATAGCACAATGCAACAATTAATCCCGAATGTTGTTAGTGAACTCGAGAATCTTCTTGATTCCACTGAATGTGTTGATTACTTTTCAGGGTTGTTGGAAGTATTAGAACGAATTGCGGATCGATATCCCACCGAATTTGGAAACCGATTTCAGGTATTCTAATTTTTTTTTTGATTTCATGAAACAAACTTGAAAATTTACAAACAATTTTTTCCTTTGATCACAATAGGATATAATTGATTTACTTGTAGGCTGGCATATTGATACTACTGTGTCGGATTCATTGCATAATTATATTTCGGGTAAAATATGATTTATTTGGTGCTTTAAGTTTACTTTTTGAAGCTCAAAATATATTTATATATTATACGATAGATTCGTTTCGAAGATTGCGGCCTTTTTGGGCTCAAAATTTAAATTTTGCAAATGAGTTATTGAGCCATTTTTTGGCTGACATGGAAGTTGTCGCTGGGATAACAGTATCTCAAGCTGGACCTCAAATCGATCAAAAAACAAACACAGATGTAGATGGAGTACCAAGCAATTTAAAAGGGTTACTAAGGTATGATTAGATTTATCATCACTTAAAAAAACTAAATTAATTTCCTCCTTACAATTTGTAGCTGTTTCCACGCAGTAGCAGAAACAATTGGGCCTATTGTCCCAGTAACTACTCAAGAAGAAGTTCACGGTGCCGAAATAAAAGATAATGTACACCCGTATGATCGATTACGTGCATACATTATCAAGTTTCTTGTCGCTATTGGAAAACTTTATATGGATATTGATTTGTTTAATAAAGGTGAGTTTTTTTCCACTGCTCATATTTATTGAAAATAATAAATAAAGTCTCATTTTTGATTATCAGGTAATCAGATAATACTGGCATTAAGCACACACCGTAAAGCAACCTTTGTGCATCAGCAACCTAAGTCGACCGAGTTCTGGTTAATGCAAATAAAATATGTATATCAAGTATCGTATTCAAATCAAAATATGGAAGAATGGTTTGACTCATATTTGCAGGTATTTTATCACACCTAAATTCAACTGCAATAAATTAATTTTATTTTCTAACCAATTAAGATATTGAATAATAACAGGCGCTTGCACAGTGGTTCCCATGCGTACACCCTGATGTTCCTATCATCATAATGAATCCTAAATCTCCACTTATGAAACTACGGCAGCATTGCTCGTTCAATGCTCGTCTATTTTCCGATTTCCTCGATATGTTTCGTTGCATATTACGAAACTCAGATTCAATAATAACACAAGATTCAATATCGTCCGCTATTCAGCTCGCACATCAACTCGTATCAGAGATGACGCATATGTGCAAAATAATATTGAATAATAACAGCACGTGTGATAAATCTGATGCCGAAATTCGTTGGCAATTGAAGTCTACGAATGTCATGAAATTCAATGATAAAAAATTAGATGAATTCCGCGAGGAATTTCATCATATATTTCCAGAAAATCATCATTCATCAAATGAAATCATCACATTTGACGCGAGAATTGCAACTTTTATTTTGGTGTTTGATATTGAACTTTTTGTTGATGTTGTGAGAAAGTGGTCGTATGAAAACGAAGCATTTTGGATCTTGTTTTTGTTATTGGAGAAAATTGAGAAATATAAGAATTTGCATGGATTGGTGATGTATTCGGTGATAAGGGCAACACATCAGCTTTCTCGAAGGTGTTTTTTTGTGTTCATTTAATCGTTAAATGTTTTGAATCTCTTAATATATAAATTATATTTTTTATTGGGATTTATTAGTCAAAAGTATTTCACACAGCTAAAAGAATCAACATCATCTTTTGAATCATCCACATTCGATGCAATGCTTTTCATTATTGACTCAATATTTTACTACGACAATAAACTTCCCATGAACCTAATCACGTTCTCGATCGAATGGTTACGAGATATTTTGGAATTTTGTGGCAACAACAAAAAATCATTGAATGATAAGACAAAAGACCGTGTTCAATTACAAATAGGACAAGCTTTGTTATCCCTACTGCACTTATCTCGTATGTCGACTTGATTTTTCGTTTCTATTGCATTTGCTCTATTATTTTTTGTTTTTATTTAATCATGTAATTAATATTTTTTAATAGGTGTAATTCAAAATCCTGATGTATCCGACCAAATTCCAAAAGTCATTCGAGATTTTATCGATGTTTTTGGTTCATTAAGCCTGCCAAAGAAAATATTTCCTCTTATTGCTGATAGGTAAGATTGTTTCGCGCGAACTATTGATGACTTGGGAATATGTAGAAATTCTTTTACAAAATTTATTTCCATATAGGATAAATGATTCGAATTCTCAAATTCAAAAAGAATTCCTAAAAATATTTTATGAAATCAACCCCTTGCTTGCCGTATTCAAACACGATTACATCACAGACCCTTCACTACAAAATTCAAAAGTAAGTCAAAAAGTCTTTTTATTTCTGAACATCTAAAATAAATCTCATAGTTAATAATTTAATTTAATTTAATCATTTATAACCAGGCCAGCATTTGTGCATTACCAAACTTTGGTAACTTTCGACCTCAACATTTTCAAATAATCATGACCTATTTAGGAATGAAAGAATTGCTATCATCGTCGGCGGAAGAAGTGGATTTAGCGCATACAATGGTAGATATGGAAAATGATGGGCAATGGCGACAACGTTTATTACATGTTTGCCAGTCGATGAATATAAATAGTAATTCCACCTTCGACGAGGCATTGATGACATCGAAAGATCATAATAATAGATCGTTGTCGTATTATGGTCTTTATTTATTTGTTAAATGTTTTGTATTTTTGGCATTTTTTAATGAAATATTAATTAACTTACTTTGATCTTGGACTTTTTATTATTATCCTCATCATTTTAGATGGAGTTTCAGGTCTCATTGATAATTCTAATAGTTTGATTACTTTTTGGACGCTTTGGGAGACTGCACGTTATTGTGTTTTATCACGACTTAGAACACCTTTTGGCGGACCTCAGCATGTAATATAAAATATACATAATGATTTTATTGTATTAATATATCTTAATCGAATATTAAAAAATTGGAAATTTAATAGACTTTTGACGCGTTCGAAAAGAAATTAAACGATTTTATGACGGGAAATCTCAATTTGACTTTAAACTCCACCGGTATAAGCGACGAATCTTTGGACCCAATGTATTTAAACATCAAAAGTCATTTCTGTTCCCGAAAATAAATTCATTCAAAATGAAATTCATTACTTTATATACTTAATATACTATTGTCAAAGATATTCGAAATTAAACCAACTCCACAATCTTTTGATTTTTATCGATTGTCTTGAGATGCAAATCTACAATGCAGCAGTCGGCACAGCTCTCGGAAACCTACCGCAAGCACCTCGTGGCAGTATTATTTTTTTTCGGACGAATCGTAAGGTTTGCGATGATTGGTTCAGTCGTGTTCGAGCGACGATTGTAAAAGGTGCTGGAATGGTTGGTGGCGATGCAATGTTGGTGACGCATGGGCTTCAAGTATGCAATCATTTTATTATCTTTTTTGTTGATGTCTGGATTTTCAAATAGTAAAAATTCATTTTTATTTAGTTTCTGTCAGATCGTGCAACAAATCTGAAACAAGGGATTATGAAGGAAAGAATCATCGCTTTTCAGGAAATGTTGATGTTCATAGGTATGCATCATATTTATTCCGTATTTCTAATCTAATAAACCAGAATATTTTTTGATTGCTTTTCTTACGTCAAAAATTAACAGTACAAGCTATGAGAAGATTACGTTCGGTGGATAGCATTCACGGATTACTAATATGGAGTAAAAAAGTTTTCAATATCGTTGATAAAGATCTAGAGAATTTGCCCGAAAATGCATCGGCATCTCAAGTTAGCGGCAGCAGAAACGTGTCCCAAAAACTGCCCGGCGGTAATATTCAAATACAAAGCGAACAAGGACCTTCACGTGAGTGTGAGCCCAAGAACAATAAATAAATTAATCTTACTTCTTATTACATACATCAAATATAAAGTAAAAACAACACTATTATTAGACACTCTGCTACAACGTAATGTCTTACACAGGGCTTACTCTAATATGCCTAGCTACATGCACTTCGAATGGATGAACTGTGCATTATTGTTTGCCAAATCAAAATACGAGCAATCAGCAAAAGAATCGATCAAAACTTTGAATAGTCTTTTGAAGTACGATTATTCGGAGGATAAGCTTGCGTCGCTACAAGTAAAATTTTTAACTTCACAGGCAAGCTATCCTAATTTTTCTATCTTTCTCTTTTTTTTTGATGCAGAAGTATTAACGTACCCATTGCACATTTGTATGACATTTCTCATAGATATTTGACTGCTATTGCCAAATGGATGACGTGAAATCACTATCACAATGGCTATCACAGCAAAATATTCTAGAAAACATGTTGACCCCATTGCATCAGGCTAACCAACAATACCTCAACGCGTTATCGCAGTATGGAAAAGAAGATAAAAGTTTTCTTGATGCGTGGGAGACGATAAAAACAACTGAACCGAAAATACCTGATCATTTTGAACTTTTGCATGATGTGCCCTTCCTGTCATTCTTGTATCATTTCCGTGCAGATCTAGCACAAAGAATAGCGCAACAAGAAGATTCACAAACATATAACTACAATGAACAATCGGCTTATTCAATTATGAAACTGCCGATTCACTTTGCCCTTAAAGAATCTCTTGGCAGTGCGCTGCCGATGCTGGTTATTATTCAGAATAATAAGTCTGATTTAAAAGAGCACCAAAAATTTGCCAATGAACTTCCTACATCCTCATCATCTTTTTCGCGTCATTTTGTTCAAGATTTGGGGATCTGGAGTCCGTTAAAGCGCCTTGTCGACAAAGCCGATACTGCTACTGATGATGATCTTTCCAAAACGAAAGATCATCTATTGACTCTCCCCCATCAAATTGATATTTACAAACTATTTATCGCAAAAATTGCTAGGAAGACCGAAGCTCTTGATCTCGCAAGTAATATTTGTCGATACACTGGTAATGACGGCAATAATATTTGGGCAGAATCTGTATTTGAACAAGCTAAAATATTGTTTGCGCAAGGAAAACATCAAGATGCTGTTCGTCATGTTTGTTCAATTCTAGAAAAAACTGAGCAAGAGTACAAATATTTATCGGAAAATCCGTTCTACAGTTTCACTTTACGTCAACAAATATTTTTGAAACTTGCCAAGTGGATTGGATTCTTACAAGGCCAATTGCCTAGCGAGCTTGCAGACAATATTAAAAACTGTACTTCGAAATACCTTCAAACCACATCAACACAAGAAATTGAAGGTGATTTTCTATCTAATAATGATGCGAACATAAATAATATCGAACTATGTTTGTGGAGTGCAGTTCAAGGAGAACATTTTTATGGGGGGGCGTGGTACTCATATGCCACGTATTTTTACAAGAAAGGATGGCAAATATTGGAAGAAATTCACAATGGAAAAATGACACTTTCATTTCTTTGTGATTTGCGCCAAAATATTCAAAATTCTTTGATTGTTGATTGGAAACAGACAAATACTGAGAATTCCGTAGATTACGAATCATTATTAAAGGTAAGTAAGTAATGAGATTCGTGTTTAGTAAATTCGATAAATATATATACTATACTACCCACCCATTCTTTAGATGATATTTCGCGTATTTATACGAAGATTTGGAACGCGATCAATCTCGGATAACTTTGACGTGAAAGAGAGCGAGTTTCGTCCACTTGAGCCTTGGATTTCTAATCAAACCAAAGAGGAAATTAAGCATTCATTTAATAAAATCAAAAAAGAAATTCTTCAAGCTCTGAATGTTGCGGCGAATGGATATTTTCAATTTTTAAAGTCCACGAATCATGAAACTGCAAATAATATTGGCGATCAAAAGGTATTTTCTTTTAAACGAAACGCGATTTTCTGCACTTACTAAGACTCGCTTTTAAATAATCAATTATTTGTCGAACAGGATCCATTAACTAAATCTATTAAGGAGGCAGACACAATAACGGCCACTTTGCGAATACTAAAGTTATTAGTAACCTACGGTTCTTATATGAAAGAATCCTTATCCGAAGCCTTCGAAAACACTGTAGTCACAAATTGGGAATTCATAATTCCACAATTATTCTCGCGTCTAGATCACCCAGAGTCATTCGTCAGACAACAAATATGCAATCTTTTATGCAAAATTGCAACAAGTTCTCCCCAGTCGATAGTCTATCACACGGTTGTTGCATTAAACTCAAACAGTACCAACGAACAAACAAAGCAATCTCTTCAGAGTATTGCCAGTAGTTTGGACGTCTCAAATGGAGTCTTGATCGCGGAAATTCGTCGTGTTATTCAGGAGTTGCAGCGAATTACGGTTCTCTGGGAAGAATTATGGTTGAATAAAATTACTGGGTTGCAACTTGATGTGAACAAACGATTGCATAAAGTGGGGAAAGAGTTGGAGAGAATCAATGATAAATTAAATTTGACTTCGGATCAAAAAACCAAAATCATGAAAGAGAGTTATGACGCGATTATGAAACCGGTGATTTCGTCCTTGGAACGGCTGTATAATGTGACGAGTGCTGTTCCAACTACGCCGCATGAGAATTGGTTCACAAAGTTGTTTGGGGAACGTATCTGTGAGGCTTTTGATCGATTACGATTTCCTCGCTCTTGGGATAACATTAAAGAAGGGTGGAATCTTTTCAAAAACGTAAGAAGCTTTATAAATTTGTTACGATTAGTTATTGAAATAAGACCATTTAATTTCTTTTTACAAAACAACGAAAGGTTCACAAAGATCTTACAAAAGAGTTGCAGACAAGTCGATCTCTGAAATTGGCTGATGTTTCTCCATATTTAGCCGCCATCAAATCTTCAGCAATCACTATGCCTGGACTACCAACTAATGCGGAGCATATCACCATTCAATCGTTTGATCAAAATGTCTTTATTTTGCCAACAAAGACCAAACCAAAAAAATTGTCTCTACTTGGATCAGACGGACATCTATATGGATACCTGTTCAAAGGACTCGAAGATCTTCATTTAGATGAGCGAATAATGCAGTTAATTCAAATCACCAATAAACTGTACAAACGTGATAAGCAAGCAAGTAGTCGAAATTTAAGTGCCCGACATTACGCTGTAATTCCGTTGGGCGAACATTCAGGCATGATTCAATGGGTAGAAAACGCTACTCAGATGTTTTCGCTATATAAAAAATGGCAGCATCGCGAACACTTTGCACGAATGTTGTTGAACAACGCGGGCGAAAAGTCTCCTACAATACCACAACGTCCTAGTGACATGTTTTTCGAGAAAATAGGAAAAGCTTTGAAAAAAGAAGGATTATCAATCTCTACCTCGAGGCGAAACTGGCCTCATTCAATTCTCAAAACGGTTTTTCTTGAACTCTTATCTGAAACTCCTGCAGACCTTCTCGAAAAAGAATTATGGACATCATGCACAAGTCCTTCTGAATGGTGGCAAAAGAGTATATCATTGTCGCGTTCACTGGCTGTCATGTCTGTGGTCGGATATATTATTGGCCTAGGAGATCGACATCTGGACAATATACTTATTGATTTCAATGCTGGGGAAGTGATTCATATTGATTACAATGTCTGCTTTGAAAAAGGGCGAAAATTACGTGTTCCTGAGACTGTTCCTTTTAGACTCTCACAAAACATCGAAAAGGCACTTGGTATTACTGGTGTTGAAGGTGTTTTTCGGATTGCATGTGAAACTGCACTTAAAGTGATGCGGAAAAACAAAGAGATGCTGACTATTTTGCTGGAGGCATTTGTTTACGATCCTCTAGTCGATTGGCATCATGAAGTTACAATTGATCGGGATAAACAAATAATGGAGCTTGAAGAAAATCTAAGTCTATTAACTTCTAGAATTGGTGAGAATTTTGTATTTTTTTGATCAACTTCTTTAATTATATATATTATGTATTTAATAATTTAATTTATTGTATTTCCTTCCTTGCAATATAGCCGAACTAAAACATCCATTAGAAATGAAGCATAAACAATTGACAACTTTACTTTCTGAATTTACTATGTTATTTCAAACATTGCCCGAACATCATACGATTCCCCGAGATTCACACGAAGAAGATTCGGTGACTCAACAAATAATAGCCTTAAAAGATCCAGAAAAGAAAAATATACCAACAGCTGAAAATAGTTTGGAGATTGAGAGCCTAAAAACTACTCTGACACAAAGAGCTGCCGAATGTACATTATGGCATGCACAACATGAAAATTCAATTCAATCTATTCAAGTATGAATCTTTAGTAATTTTTTTTCGCATTCACATTTTATTCAAATTACTTATTCATTATATTTAGGGCAATCTCATTCAAGCAATCTACAATGAGGTCAGTAGTTCTAGTACTCAGTTTCGAGTTTCCATTTTCACGCCCGTTATCAACATCATTACAACCAACGAAGCACTTGCACAACAATGCTCACAAACCGATCAGGAACTGTTTAACTGGGTTACAGAGCGCAATAACAGCTACACAGTATGCATCGAGCATCTACAATACTACCGTGCTTTAACTGCTCCAGTGGTTCCAATTTTAATGACTCAAGATTATTATTTCAAATGGCCGCAACTTTTAGCGCCTTTGCTTGAATCTAATTTACAAAGTGATTACTTTGAGACGGTGTACCAAACAGTAAAACACGAAGTTCAACTTGATTCCGAATTAATTGAAATTAGGGAACGTCTTAAGACTTCTTGTGAGGATATTACGCGTCAAGGAGTATTTATTGGCGAAGCATTTAGTCTTGTTTCAATGAATATGATGACTGAAAATGAATCAGATCCAAACGTTCTTTTAGAAACTTTCTTTCGTCAGATTACACAGGCACATGATGGAGATAGTTCATCATCCCTGGGAATCTATGGATTTATCTCGTTACTTTCACAATTGAAACAAGATTTGGATAATAATGTTAACGAAAAAGAAGTCCTCAAAAATCTTGGATTCGATGAAACTCTCCAGACAGCAATTTCAAATGCTCTCTTTAGCGAACTATTTAATGACTCAACGTTCATCACCAATTATGTTGTTTTCTTCGCTTTATATAACATCCTTTATATGTCTACAGGTAATTTAAGTATTATTCTTAGATTCGAATCGGTTTTGAGCAAAATCGAGAAAATTAAAAATAACACGAAATTATCTTCTCTTTAATTTTTAGTGGCTACGCCAAAGGATGAATTAATTCCACAAATATACTTGATAGTCGGCGAATACCTTCAACTGGTAAAAATGTTTTACACACTTCAAGCAAGTTTCGAAAATGTCCTCTTGCCTAGAATATATGAGATTATGAAAATCATGCCTACTGCCTTTCAATTGTGCACGGAGATTTTGTATGATCTTTCTACCGACACATTTAATTATTGGGGAATGAAGCATCCGGAAGCGCACTCTGTTGTTGTTAATATGGTATGTGCTATATAATGATACAATTTATTTAACGTATTAAATGAAGGTGATTATTTACACTTAAAAACGTATATAGAAACAAGCGTTCTCACAGATTTGTGCTAGTGTTCAGGAGGAGGATAACCTTTCAACTGAAATCAGTAATGTGATTTCTGCTTTTGATGAGATGTTCAAGGAACTGGAAATCCAAATTTGTCATATACAGGTAAGTAAACAAGTTAAGATAGTTTTTTATTACGATCAAGATTATTATTAATCCTTTTATTACTGTTAGACTTTACTCAGTGAGCCATTGCCATTCCCAGAGGATCAAAGATGCTTCAAGAGTGAATATATTCTTGATGATTTCACCGTACATAAATTTAATGTAATATAATTTTTGTTAGTTTATGGTTTACGCCAATATCTCTATATTATATTAATAACGATATTTCTTAGATCATAGCCAATGTTTTGTTGGGATGTCAAGATTACTTTAAGGAAAATTTTCTGTCGTATAGTTCCCCTAATACGTGGCTTTCGTCGATTGCGATCTCGCAAACCTTCATTTCCAATTCAGATTCGCTTCCAAGACTTCGTCAAATAGTGCAATGGTGTATGTCTGACTTGTTTATTCCAAGTCTGCAGACACTTTTATCAACCACCCTTAATCATTTCAAGAGTCTTGTGGCATCGGATAGTTTGTCAAATGATGCAAAAAGAGATGATGGTGATGTTGAAAATGCTTCACCTTCTACTCGAGAGTTGGTATTCGGTGATGGTAATTTCTCGAGAGATGATTTGGATAACACGAGAGCACAAATTAAAAAATATATATTTATGGGGAGCAAAATAAATTTATTGACCTTGGTGAGTAATTGAATCATTTCTTTTTTGAAGCTGGCTTTTTAAGGCTAAATAAAATTTTTTATATGAGATAAACACACGAAAAACGCAAATTGAAATCGATGTACAACAACGTAAAATGGAGTTAATGAGATTCGAATGGATAAATCAAAAGTATATTGGTGAAAGCACGCTAATTCACACTCAGGTATTTTCAATTCAACTAATAAATCTTTGATCTCGTATTAGCAACTATCTGCTTTATTTTATTTATAATAAGCATATAACGAGGATAACTATGTTATATTCAATAGATTTTAGAAAACTTTACGCATGACGTAAATAAATTCATGCAATTAGAGCTTCTCCTTCAAAAAATAACGGCCAATTATCAAGAAATCCAATCCGAAGCCTCTAACCAAATATCGACGTGTTCAAGTACATCAACGACAATTGCTTCAAATGAAGCGGTGCTACAGTCTTTTGAAGATGCGATTGCAAATCAAAAAAATTTATTTGCTCAGGAACTTCAACAGGTGTGTATTTATGTCATGTCACTTTCATAATAATAATAATAATAATAATAATAATAATAATAATAATAATAATAATAATAATAATAATAATAATAATAATA